GGAAGTTTCCAACTTTAAAAGATTAAATAAATATTGTGAAGGTTACAGCTGCTTTCTTCAAACTATATCTATCAGCCACTTCCTTCATGTATGCTTACTCATCTTTCCTTTGATAATGCTTTTTCTTTTTCATCTCACAAAGTTTCCACTTTTCATTTATTTCACTCAAAACTAAACCAAAAATGTGTTCTAAAGCTCCATACTTCTTAACAACAATGGATGATATTTCAAGCTATCACTTATAACTCATAATGTTATTATTTATATTAACCTAAAGTTTTTACTATGTGCAACAAATTCTTAACAAACAAAATAATAAGTTTTGTTGAACCAAATTAAAGAAATGATGACACTTGCTAAGAAGATTGTAAATTTGTTGTCTCTTGAACTAAAATTTTGATGGCAAACATGTATAACAAATATAATTTTCTATGTTCAAGGTGTTCCATGTGTTTCAAACCTTGGAAAGTAAGAAATGATTTTGCTCTTGTGGGATAAGATTATGAGAGGAGACTCTTTAACCTAACAACATAATTACTTGGACAAAACATACATTAAAAAAGAGGTAGATGTGTACTCATATATTATACATAACTAAACTCACATTATGTATTATTTTTTGAGTCTCTTTTGGAAGTGGGGTGTGACAAAGAACAGCCTTTAAGAATGATTTATGAGGGTTTAAATGATGACCCTACTATTTGTCAAATCAAAGTATGAAAAGGATGAAGAAGAAGGTGAGGGTGGTGTTGAGTGGGAAATGGGAATTCCAACATTATGGAATGTTGAGATGACAGTGTTTGGCTTCATTTTGCTCCTCAGTTTTAGTTTTCAAAGCTGATAGCCAAAAGCCATTGATGTCAATGGAGAATTTCTTCCACTTCAGAACAATTCTCCATAAAGAGTCTTTCGTTGCATCATGGGATATTTTCCTTACACAACCACAAACATTATTGTCATCAATTATTGTAAATAAATTTATTAATTATTACTTTTTTTAGTATTAAGTTCATCAGATTAGTTTATGATTTATATAAATAAATTTACTAATTTAATAATGTGTAGACGTGTGAAACCCATAATGTCTTGTACCAATTACAATTGTTTAGATATCATTGTAATTATATGATGTTTACTTTGTTTATGAATAAAATATTTTAGTTTGATTAGATTTCATAAATACACGTGTCTTCTTCCTAAAAAATATGTTTTTTTTTATTTCTTAACAAATATAACTTATTGTCAGGTTTATTATAATTTAAATTATGTTTTTAATTTAAATAACGGTAATAAAAATAATCCAAAAGTTTTTAAATGAAGTAAAGAGACTATTTTTGAATCTCATTCAAAATAATCATATCCTATCAACCTCTCTGGATAAACGTTGATTAAATTAATATTTATTCTACTGTATTTATTCACGATAATATATTGTTTTCTCTGTTGATTGAAACATTTTAAGGAGATATGAGATTTATGAAATAAAAGTTCATACATTAGGTATATATCTAATCTCAGTATTATCGATCAAAACAAAATCCTTTATTTTATTAAAATAAAAGAAAACTAACATTTTATTTTATTTTCTCAAAACCTTATCAGTTGTGTTGATTTATCGTATGAAGCAAATATATTAAAAAAAAAAAAGATAAAATGAGTTTTGAAATTAAGAAAATGTTTGATGTCCATTGATAAAAAATAACATTTTTAAAAATATATTGCTGATGGGAAAGTGTATATAATAAAATTATAATAATTAGTGAGTTTTATATAAGTCTAATATTTTTTTTGATAAGTTTTAGGAAATATTATTGAAATTTGTTTTATTCTTTTATTATTATATGTATATTTGAATTTTGAAAGTATGGGGTGAAAATAGAAATTACGGGGATACAGAAAGCAAGTAAGAGTCACCCAAATGATGGAAACATGGAATGGGTTTTTAAGTCCCACAAATGGAGATTAAGATAATCCCTCTCTGTTCCCAGGCCCAGAAATTGAAATCACCAAACAGAACATAGGTCATATAAATACGTGGATAGTTGACTAAAACACAAAAGAGAAATAAGTGAATAAATCAAAATAGAGGAGAGAGAGAGAGAAAAGGAGAGGGTCTAAAAGTAAAAAAAATCCAAATTCCTAAAGGCTATTTGACAACTCCATCTTCTTCTTTGTTGAATTCATTTCCACTTTGTTCCCAAAAGCAGAGTTTGCTGTGTTGGGATCAACATGCACCATCCATGCCTTTAATCAAAATCAAGATAAAATGTTTGTCTTTGCCCCTTAGTTCATATCATCACAGCTAACATATAAGTTTTTCTTTTTCAATTTTTAGTCACACAAACCACAACCCTTATACTAATTATCTAATCTTTTATCATGAAAAATTCCATTTTTAGTTTTTCTTTGGAGTCAAATTATGAAATCAAATAGTTTTTACTAATCATTCTCTATCACACTTTCTAATCTCTGTTTTTGTATTCACTAAATCTTGTAGCGTATTAATTTATTGGCAATATCATGCTTTTCTCTTAGTCACTGAGCCTACGTTCATCAAGAATGAGAAAGGCTAGAAAAAAAAACATATATAGGTTTTAATAAGGTAGAACCAATTGAATTTTACGAAAAGACAAACCATGATAAGATTCTTTATATAACATGAGAAGAGTTGATGGACATGACATGTGTGCAAAGAAACATTATTTAATAAATTCATTCACACACCCTAATTATTTGTTTATCAACATTCATTAGATTAACTTTTGCTAGAAAGAAAAAGAAAAAGGAAGATTCAATTTGTCATAAGAAAAGATGACCATGATTCTCTCTCACTTCTTCTCTATTATTGTTGTTATCCAATCAATTAGTAAGAAATGGAGTGAATTTGATAATAAATAAAAAAAAAACATAGCATAATCATATTACATGGGATTAGATTAGTAGATTAACTAAGCAATGTACATCCTTATCTCTATCTCATGGTGTGTCCCCATTACATGATACTATGGCAATGCATTAGGGCATGAGGATACATAGTAAACTTTGCAATGCAATTGAAGTTGAATTATAGCAAAGTTTGGGGCCCCCCACCCCACATTGATGGGTACACTGACCCCTTTGGTTCCCCATGCACCATTTCTTTCAAAAGGCTACCCAATTACTCCATCATTTAACTCTTCCATAGCCTCCACCTGTAAACCATATTCAAGAGAATGCTAAAGATTGAATGTATATCCCCCCACACTCTCACTTTTCAAGCAAGCAACTCAGTTAGATACTTATTTCTGCAACTCTATTTGTTTGTTAATGTTGAAAGTAAAAGCAATTTCCAGAAATTCACATTCAAATTTTCATCTTGAGATGAGTGGAAATGAATAGTATGAAAGACTTTAAAATATTTAGTGGTAAATTTTGATGTTTGTCTCTATTCTGTCCCCGAACAGTGTGAAAAATGTATTAGATTAATATGATTTCGATGACTTTCCATGTTTGATCATTTCATTTGATTGGACACACATTTGGTTACGCATATCAAGGTCCTAATTATTGAATTAGCAAGCTTGGATTGATGGAAACTGTAAAACCAAGAATTGTACGGAACAATTGTTGTGCCTCTATTTTCTTCAGGGTTCTTAATTGATCCACCATTAACGGAACACACCTTAACACGTAACACTAATTATGTCACATCATCGAAATGGTTATACATAGTTTAAAGAAATAAGAGATGATTAGATATCCATTTTGTAGCTTTTTCAAGTTCCCAATCCCCTAATCAACCACATTCCATTGCATGAACGCCTCAATGTGACATAGGAATCATTATTAGCACTGATGTTGTCTATGCCTAAGCTAAGATACTCAGATTCCCCCGTGCAACTTTTAAATTACAAAAATCAAATCCCCTCAAAAACCTTCTTATAATATTAACAATAATTTCAAATCTTCTTTCAACACCTTTTTCTATTGATTTTCTAACTTATTAAATGAAAATATATAATATATTAAAAACACTTTATATTCTTGGACATTAAATACTATATATTTGTTCTTATTAAGAGAAGTAGATAGTGGGAAAATATTAAAAACTGTAAAATGAAGACAAACTATGAAAAAGAAACACCCTTTGACACATAACCAACAAGGATCATGTGTGTACGCATAAATGAGATATATATTATACCCATTTTTGTGTTTTTGTTCCATTCCCAAAAAATCAAGGCATGCAGGCAAAAAGGTTCCTTTGACGATTAAATATTTTTGAGAATGATTGTTCCATCTCCAAGGTATAATAGAAGGTTGTTAATTGCATCCTATACAAAACTCTTAATCATATAGTTACCCTGAACGTCGTACATGTAAGTACATGATTCATATAAGTATATAGATACTATACTCTATAAATTATAATTACAAAATAAATTCAGGACATGAACAATCATAAACTAAGAAATTTGAGTGGTTGATGAGAAAAGTAATGGAAGATACTCAAATAGATTTGCTATTTATGCAGGTACACTAAATGTCAATCATTAATTTTATTCTCAATATTGCTTACTTTATTCTCTAAATGATTACTTACATTAGAAGAATCAGATCCTAAATTTAGTAGTATGCAGAAGCACAACCTAAGATGATGGATTTGGTACAAGGGGACAGATGACATGATTGTGTGAGAATTCGGTAACTATGCTCTTGATAACATGTTAAACCTAAAATCACGGTAAGAATATGATGAAGCCACTAATGGAGTACATGAAATTTTGTTTTGTTTTTGCACTCTAAAAAAAGGGTCCAGAAGCAAAGGACATTGGATAGAATTTAGATAAGACAAGCCAACATTCCAATCTGTACACACAGAGAAAAAAGTATTGAAAGAAGTTGAAATGAAACCCAGCGGGAAACAGGCAAAATCTAATAGATTTTTCCTTTTGATAGCTTCTAACATGCTAGTTCAACATGATCCAACCAATTAAGAAGGAAGAGAATATTATACACCATCACAGAGGACCATTGGAAATTGGTACTCCTCTCTTGATGCTATCCATGTTGGTAGTTTCATAGACAGGTAGACCACTTGAATAGTATCCCAAGTCATAGTTTTGCAGTTCAAACAGATCAGAGCTTGAATCACTTTCTGCACCATCATCAACCTCATTGAACTTCCTGATTTGAGTGATTTCCTTCTCCTCTGCTGAGTACTTGTCCAGCAGCATCCTATCTTTCTCAAATGACTCGTGACTACCCTTGTTCCTTTGTTTATCTGATGATGATAATCCATTGCTGTACTTGTGATTGTGGTTGTGGTTGTTATCATCCGTCAAAGTTGATGGTTCCCTTTTTTTCTTCCCATCCCACAACAACTCATTTTGCAAAGTGGTGGTTGATCTTGCATGTCCATTATTATACTTTGCTGACAAGGACTGTGCATGCTTGTGGTCTGAGAAGGTTCTGAATTCCTTGCAGCTCTTTGTTGGTGTTTGTACATAAGGAGGAGTTCTAAACCCTGAACTTAAGGAAGAGTACAAGGATTTTGAATCTGCAGTGCTGGAGCTTCTAAAATGGCTAATGCTGCTCCTCCTCCTTCTCCTTCCTCCAGGGCTTTCATCCTCATCCTTCATGGACTGAGAGCTGGATTTTGACTTCTTCTTCTTCGATGCTGATTGGCTGAAGAGAGAGTTCAAGAAGCTTGCGAGCCTTCCACCAGGAGAGCTAGGCTGCTTGTGTTTCTTCTCCTTCATGATTTGTTTTTCCATGCCATGGAATTGCTGGGGGAGCAAGCTTCTCATTGGCATGTCTAAGCTGATTCTGGCTCTGTGTGCATGGTGCCTTTCTTCTCTCATGATCTTCTGAGCGAAGGTGGAGCCAGTGTAGCCGATAACTTCACTGTATCCCGAGAAGTACCTTGCTGCTTCAAAAACATCAAGCTCACCAGAATCGTTCCTGCGGTGGAAGGACTTGTTGTGATTAATTTCTGGGTCCATGAGGCCTGCTATGGACATGGTGCAAGTTTGAGAACTTGTGTGAAGTGTGGAAGATGGATAGTATGTAACAAGAAGGGCGGCTATATCAAGGATGCAAGGGGTTTAGAATGATTGAGAGTAGTGGGAGGGTCAGTTTAGGATAATCAATAACTCTAGGCATAATTTTATATGATGAGAGAGTTTTGGAGGTTTTTGTGTGAGGTCCACATGATGTGCATATGTGCATTAACAATAAAGATGAGATTGGGGTATAAGTGGGGAACAGTGCTTTTTATCCTTCTCATGCTGTTAAAACCAGAGGTTTTTGTTAGGGATTGTGGGGAGCAAAGAGCTGTGTTTCCTTGGATTCTATATGCTTCTAAGGATTTGAGTGGGAGTTGGGTGTTAAATGGTTGTTGGCTATGGATAGATATCCAATGGCCATGGCATGTGCATAATTCAATGTAACCTTCTTTGCTCATATATATCATTACACATACAGATGGACCATAATTATTATAGAGATCCCACCATCATTTTGAGGGCTTCAAAGTCACTCCATATTCCATAACAAATTTTAAAAGTAATTGCTTTGCTTGGCAAGTAATTTCTTTTGACTAGGATAGATTTACTATGGCCCATTAATATCACACTGCCTCCTCTTTAGCCTGTTTTCATAACAAGGACTTTTTCATCATGGTAAGTCTAGTAGTCCATTAGGTGGGTGAGTAATATTTCAATTCCCAACTACTGGTAGGTTCAAACAGAGAAAACCTACATGGTAGCAGCAATAGGTAAAAATCTTACTCAGATCAGACCATAAAAACCATCTTGTCATGTACACAAAACCAGAATTTTTGAACAAAATTTTCATATTATGCATATAATACATAATACCATGTCATATGGAAGGTGATATATCAAGAAGTCCCACCAAAGTTGCAAGCAACGAATAATAAACAGTGGAGAGACCTTTTCCACTGCAAAGAACTTTAAGAACTACACATGCATATTTAGTATTATCAACTTTAGTTTTCTTTCTAGATACTGATGTTAGTCAATACATGATTTGGCCCATCAAAGCCAACGCCCATTTCTTAGTGTCGGAGTATAGTGGTGATCACAGTTCTTGTGTGTGGGCACGATCACATGAGTACGTGTAACATATGAACCAAAAGAGACACAGCAACGGGTATGCATTAAAGCCATATATGGGCTACCAAATATTATTGTTGAACGTATAAACGTTCACTTAGTCAAGGCCACTCGAGGGAGATGACCGTGACAGTTCCATTAAGATCAAATAGTCTAGTCAATTTTTTTCAACTTAGTTATCAATGTGACAAGTTATAAGGGACCCCCTTTCTTGGATAGCCACCACCACAATTGTGTAACCTACAAAAGTTATTTTATTTTTACTTTTCTTTATTTTTCCATTTGACAATATCAGCATTAAGATATGGAAACTGATGCTGCCACTTGTATGCCAGAGGCCTTGAATTCTGACCACTAGTTTTGAAGTAGAAAAAACACATTTTTGTTACACACACTTTCTGTTAAATGAAATCATGCAAAGGCTTGTTAGAAACCAGTGGTTATGGTTCTTGCAAGCACTAGATTTTGATAGATCAAGATAAGCAACGATCACCATCCTTGGCCAGTTTGCTTGAGATTTTATCATTAGGGCCACCCCGGAGAACAAGACTCATAGAAAGGACATAAAATTAAAGCATGGAAAACTATAAAATTTAACATCTACCCAAATTTGTGTGCATTGGATGCCCCTTGTTGCGGGCATTTTGGAATGTGTTGTGGGTTATTTTCTTTGCTTTAAGCATAAAAAACATATGAGGCCAAGGTTATTATAGTTGGCAGATTTTGTTGCTCTATTATTGGAGAAGCTGAAAGCAAGGCCACAAAACACATTATATCATACATTCTCAATTAACTAACTTGATTTATATGATCCTGTACATCATATCTGAGTGAGATTTTATATGTGGCCTACGTCAAATAAAAAACATGAACCTGACTGGAAAATGACCACATATGTGGCCTAATCTGGTCAAAAGGATCAAATCCAACGCCAGTGGCAACAGTTTAAGGGGTGTTTGGTGATTGGTATCATCTTCATCCTCATCTTGAACAGAAAAATATTTCTATAATCTTGGAAGATACACATGTTTGGTTGCTTTCTTTTAATATACACCATGCGTTCTTAAAGTGATCTTTAATGGACATGGTTGCCTCAAGAGTTTATCTTTTAATGCTATGTGCCATGTTTGCTTTCTAGTGACCTTTTTCAACAAAACACATTGGATCATAAATCATCATTGAAGAGGGGAGTTCTTGATGGGTTTGAGATTATTGTAGACCCAGTGAAAGTCCCGGTTCAGATGCTATCAAGGGTTTTTTAAGACTTACAACAGTGATCCAGCAACACATAATATGAATACCACTAGTTTTAGGCCCATCATAGGCTTCAAGTGGCACACAAAGGTCCATTTCATGACCCTACAAATAAGAAACTTGCTACTGAACATAGGGACATGGTAGGGCTGCAAAAACTCTGAATTGCCCTTAAACCTTAACTTAAAGTGTAATTCTATCCTCATTGCTCATGTACCTTCCAATGGGATGCCCCCAATATGAACACCTCTTCAATAATAAGGGAATAAAGAGATAACATAAGGAAGTAAAAGAGGTTTCATATTTGGGTACAGGAGAATGTGCAACGAACCTGAAACATAACAATCAGCAATAAATCTAAACCATAGAGAGAATTGTATAATTAAAGGGGTGTCACACAGTTAGATTTTGCATGAATAATGAATGCTCTTAGACATAGTTTTTCTTTTCCAACTTTTAAGATGTGCAATATACGTGGCTACATTAAACTTCAGGCATAGTGCTTTTTTCACTCATCATGCTGATAAAATATCTATTTTCTATCTCCAAAAAGTTATGCAAAAATATTTATAAGCTTGCCATGCCCTAATCCACATGTATGCATATGTCCTATGCTTCCCTTAACTTCTTTCGCAGGAAAATCTCAACTAAGAGCACTTCTCTTTATTCTTTGAAAAATATCAACTTTGGGTGCTATAAACCAGATAACCATAAAGAAGTTACTTTTTCTTGTGGAGGAGGTAAAGAATATCTCGCCAAAGCACATAAATCATAATAGCTTGAGATATATATATATATATATATATATATATATATATATATATATATATATATATATATATATATCTTATTCCAGAACATTAACCAAACAATTATAATTTTTGTGGGATTTAATTTAACATAATAATTGTAAGGAAACTTTTAGTTTACTGAAGTATTTATTCTTTTATTTTTTACTTTTTAAGTACGAAAAATTCAGGTGAGTCTATGATAGTGAGAGGCCCAATGGCCAACTGGGCCTTAGTGCCAATGTATGGACTTGATTTCTTCACTGAAATGTTGTGGAAATTTCGTAGTACATAAATTCACAAGAAACCTTGTGCATGTGCTTTTTCTTTTTTGTCACATTTGGTTTTGGGTTCCTTCTGGTGTAAAGAACCTTCTCTTCTACAAAGGCGAAATGGGTGGTGATTTTACCCAAAATCAATCAAATGGAATCTGGAAAGCTGTTCAAGCTTTCTTTTCTGCTATGAATATGAAGCTAGCCAAGCATTGATTCCTGAAACTCGTAGCCATGTGGTATTTATTCCCTTATATATAGTTTGAGTCAATAATTAATTAGAAACTTAGTGTAAGATCACAAGGAAGAAGAACAATCAACAAATGCCTTTTACATGTTTTCATTTCATGAAAGTAAAAAATCATCAGGATTTCATAAGAGATATTGGACTAGTGATTTTATGTGTATACTTTTTCAATATTTCATATTATATAACAATGTAAACAAAGAGAAGAAGGTTTTGGACGCACATACTTTTGCCTTGAAGGTGTTTGAAGAACTGACAGGCACTTTCGTCCACTTTGCCCTAGTGCTGTTTATCATTATTTTCTTTGATGTTGGCTTCAAAATGAATTTGTTCATTGCTGTATCAACCAAATGTTTATGCCTAAAGAGGTGTAACACTGATCATAGTTCGTAAGACTGCTCGTGTTCAGTTCATTTAATCAAATGGATGAAGAGTTCAAATGATATGGGTATTAAGGCTACATTAGTTTCAAAAGAAAATTCGTATAAGAGTGCTTATAAAATATGAATGAGAAGAGAATATAACACCAATATTAGGTTTCTTAATCTCTCTTGCTTCTATATCATGCAACTATTATTATATAAAATTAAGTTGTGATTAATTGTAATAAAGTTGATAATGGTATAATTAAGTTGTTTGAGCTTTGGAATGGGTCCCTCTACTTTATCACCATTTGCAATTTTTCAGGTGGTTCAGGCAAACCAAGCATCACTGGAAAAGAATCCAATACCACCTACACCACCACCACCACACTTCCTCTTAATTATGTCAACCAAGAAAATAATGTCATTTCCTTTTTTTTTTTTTTTTTTTCAGAGAGAGAGTTTATTATATTTTGTGCAACATTTTTGTTTTAGGTCAAATGATTTTTTTTTTCATGGTCATTATCTACCTAGTATCCCAAAACTGACAATAAAAAACTAATATATACTTCCAACATTATTTTAATATTTCAGAAATCATTAGTGCAAGAACCATGTCAATGTGCTGAAAATAACACACTAAGGAATATGTTCCTAACTTTTATTTTGCTAACTTTCCTTTCCTTGGTTTTTACAATTTACCTTTCCTTAATTATATTATGTTATTATTTCGATTACGTTTTTGTTTGTTTTAAGTTGTGTTTATACTAAGAGTTTTCAAGTGATACACAATTTATAAACTAAAGAATTTGTCAAATTTTATAAAAAAAACTCTATATAGTAGAATGCCGTGGTACAAAATTGTTTTGGTTTTTCAAATAATTGACTAAGAATTTACAGGAAGTAATAAAATAATACATATATTAGTTGTGGATTTAATTTCAAAGTTTCTTTTCAATTTTAGTGGTTAGAATTAACGTATATTTGACTTGAGTTAACATATTTAATCTTGGAGAAGTTCTCATTTTGAAAATTAGATTTACATAAATAAAAAATAAAAAACTCTTAACTGTTACACTATAAAATAACATGAATTTAATTTAGGAATGAAATAAATCTTTCTTACATGTTATGTTGATATGTTGTTAGTTGATATATGAACAATGGAGTGAAAGTAATTCATGGCCAAAATATATATTATTATAATAAGTTAAAAAAAAAAAACTATTTTGCTTTAAAGTTTTATGAAAGAAAATCATTATCATCAAATTGTAGAAAATCAATCTTAACATTGTAAGCCTAAAATGATTGTAAATGAATGAGTAATCTTATTTAATATATAAACTAAAAAATAAAATAAATTTTAGTGTGTATTATTATGAAGCACGTATATTAAGAATAAAAATGACTAGTTCATTCAATAATAAATACAAAGATATCAAAACCAATAAATAAAATAATAAAAAATATATAAAAAAATACATCAACATCAACTCCTTTTCTCTTACCAAAACATTCAAACGTATAAATTATTCATATTTTTAAAATCTCAGATTATTTAAAGTATTTTTACTCTTATTATATGTCCATGTCATACTTCTATTTTGTTTAAGATAATAAATATGCAAATATACTTTTAAAAATTTGTCATGAAACTGAATTTACTTTCTAAATTAAATTTAGAACATGAGAATTAAAATTTAAAATATAGTATTGTACAATTGACAATTTTATATATTGATGCATAACTTACAGAGATATAAATTTTGTCTATATTTAATTTACCTTTCTATATATAAACATTCAATCATAAAGTGAAAAAAAAATTAAGTATTCATGTTTTTGACAAACTTTAATATTTATTACAATAATTATTTAAAATTTTAAAAATAATTAAAAGATGTTCAACCTTCAAAATGTCTACATCTTTCTCTAACATGAACAGTCCAGGAGAAGACACTGTTCACTATTAATACTATTAAACATTAATAATTGAGAAATTATTTTTCTACCAACGTTATGCATCATAACAAAGAGATAAATATAAAATAAATAAATATATATATATATATATATATATATATATATATATATTTAATGTAAAACCTAAACTGATGATTCACCCAATGTATAACATCAAGTTATGATGCTGTTATCAAAAGAAAAATATAATATTAATAATATAAATAATAAAATTTAATATTAACAAATAATATAAGTTTTGTAAATAAATAATTGAAAAAAATTATTTTATTTTATTTTATGTAGACAATCTCTGGTTTGATTAATTTTTCACTTATTTTTCTTTAATAAAATAACTTTATTTTTCATTCTATTTTCTATATATTTTTTATTTATTCATTAATCTTATCAATTATTATTTTTTCTATTCCACATGGATATTTGAAAATAATTTCACCGACATTTCATACCTTCACTAAAAATACATATATGAATACGAATGAAATTGAACATAAGGTAAGAAATTTAATTAAAAAATAATAAACTAAATTCTCCCAAGAAAATGTATTTTGAAACTTATTAAAATTAATTAGTACTGTAAATTGGACTTCAATAATTGATATAAGAATGTTATTAACGAGTAATATGCAAATAAAACTCCCTCTAAAGTCTATTTTAATTTTAATGAATTTTGGAACTCAACTTGTCTAAATTATTTTTATATGTATATTAAAAAATGTCATCAATAAAGGCAGTTAAGAAATGGAGAAAGAAAAAGAAGAGAAAGTGTAATTAAAGGTGTGTTCCAATAAAACAGTAAAAAATGAAAATTGGTTTGATAAGAGGCATGAGAATGGAGGAGCAGAGTGGAAAAGGTGGTAGCAGAGTGAAAGTGAAAGGAAACCAATCAGAAATCGACAAATAACCCCTGCAACCTTTCACACTCTGTCTTCTTTATTTGTTTTGTGTCTCACCTTGTCACCCTCAACTCAACTTCACTCACCCCAATTTATTTATCAATTAATGTTCCCTACTTCTGAGTTTTAACCCTCCTTTCCCTTCTACTCACTCTCATAATTGTTTTCAGAACACCTCCTTCACTTTTTAAGGTTCTACACTGCAATTGAAATAATTGGAGACACATCTAATACAAATATTGTTATGTAAAAGAAAGAAAAGAAATAAAGTGATATTTATTTTTTAGTTTTGTTAACGGGGGTTTTGCAAATATTTGTTATGAAATTAACAAAGAAGGATTTGGTGTATAATCGTAATTTTTACTTATAAAAATATAACTATGCTTCCATAATTGCATTTGACCCGTTAAAAACTTATTTGGATAAAAATATTCTTTCGGCACATAAAATTTAAAATAAAACATTATTAATTTAATTATTTTCACATATTAAGATATTTTTATAACTTTAAAATATTACTTTATACTTTTTTTTTGTTTCAAATTATCTAATAATATTTATATAACAATTACTAGTATATTAGTATATAATATATATATATAAAATAAAATTACTTGTAATATCTACCAAATCTAAAATACATATCATCAATATTTATATTTATATAATTTATATGAATAAAATTTTCAAGGAATTATTTACATACATATAAAACATAAAAAAAATAAATTAAAATCCTATCAACCTCAGACCTATTATTGTTAAGAGTTAATATTATACAATCGTGACAATTTAAATTAACATATATTTAAATTAACACAAAAGACATGTAAAATGAGACTGATTCAAAATAAATATTTTTAAATTAAATTCATAATACATACATATAGATACGTACATTTTCAAATATATTAATACTATATAGAAGTTTATTCCAGATGCATCACCTCATGCTTGTATAGGTCAATTATTACGTGACAAATACATAAATACATATACATAATTATTATCACGTTACATAAATTTGAGAAGATTTCCAAAATACTGAATATTAAATTAAACTCAACGGTTATATATCTGGCACATCTTAACTTCCTAAGCGTTAAACTTTAGGATACTAAATATGATACATAAAAACTCATCATATTATGCTCAAAGAAAACTTAATTAACAGTTAAACCTATCACAATATTCTTACACTAATTAAAATTAATATTTATCCAATAAAATTTACATACATGCACCCTAAGGTCCAACTACTCTAAAAATGGGTAAAGAAAGAGTTACTTTATTAAAAATTCTAATTGATTATAAATATTTTTCTCAATTTCAAGCGTACTAAAACATGCTTATATTTAGCAAAAGATAAGAGACAAAGTAAAAAAATTAAAAATAAAAGTCAAGAAAAGAGAATTAAACCGAGATAATAATTATTTGAAAATATATAATAATTAAGATTTTTCTTTATAATTTTTTTAATTTAACCAATAAAATTTTCAATTTTACTTTTCATTAAACTACTCCTTCTTTTAACTCAATAAGGGACTATCTCGTAACTATCCTTACCTGCTATACCATCTATGATGAAATTTTATCAATCTAACTGTTGAATTACAATTATCTTTTATACTAAATATTATTTATTCTAAAATTTTCTCAAAGTTGAACAACAATAAAAAGGTTAATCAAATTATTTATATGTGATATATTTGAAAATTATATATAATA